TGCATGAGTGAAGTGTCGATGGCTCAGAGAAGACAAAAAAATTCCTAAAGCCAAAGGTATTTTCCGGGATTGGCAATTTTGGTCAGAGTATAATTGCTTTCATCCCACCCACTCCTTGTGGATTCCGGCCACTGAGAAATGCGCAGCGTTTTTCTCCCTCGCACGCCATGTTTTGCTCACTTCCTAAAGTAATATTAGCTAACTCGAGGGGTTTATGTACTAATAAGGACAACAACAAGCTCGCCTATAAGCGTCTGACCACGCGCTTTAACGAAAAAACGATATGAGAGTGACAACATAGGGAAATTTTCACTTTTTTTGAAATTGATTCGATGCATGTGCACTGATTTTTTCGAGCTAAAATCTGGTGAGAAGGCAGTGTGAATGTTTGAGTAACTAACCGGGAGCATCCCATCGTGACCACGGCGAAGGAGGTTCCTGAGCCATGAATAAGGTCTGCCGAACAAGAATGTGACAGCTGGTTTATAAAACTGTGGTCGCTGAAAACGGACCATGTTGAGGCATCAATTACATTTTCACAACTGCATTTGAATGGAAAAATACACTTAGGAAGAACCGACGTCCTTGACAGTAAATATGCAAAATGGATATGGGTCTGGAACGGCAATGACACGCAAGTACTATGCTGCTCGCTCGTAGCCCACAAGAAGAGCTTTTCTTCCGAGAGAGTTTTATTTGACGTGCATTATCAAGTGGATCGTGGTGAACTAATCACAAAGCATGCTTTTTCTCTTCCTGTGGTCAGTGAGTTCCCCGCACTATTAACATCAGGAATCCTGCTCGGATTAGCCAGTGTCCACTCCATTGGAAAACGCTTTTTGTTATGTCTCGTTATCGGCGCTTTTAATGTAACATACAACATTAGAACTATATTTACACTAATATAACGATTATTTCATAAATTGTGGAGCTAATTGTTCTAAAATGAATAATAAATGGCAAACTTAGATGAAAATTGTTTTTTTTACACATTAAAAGTCAAAAAAAAAAATAGAAAACTAATACGATATAGCAGAAATGTAAGTGCTGGGATGTGTTCGAGGTCCACAAACATTGAGGATCACAAAAAAATATATAGCTATTTTCAAGAGAGAAGGAGATAGACATAGGAGCCCCTCCTACCATTCCTTCCTCTACCTATCTCAGAAAAGAAGGGAAACTGACTCACTAAATAATCTTCTCTCATCCTCACTGAAACTTCGCTTCAAAAAAAGTTACTGTGCTTGTATAAACATCGAGCTCAACAGTCGCCAAGTCAGCGCTACAGCCAAGTTTTTCTAGTAGGGCAGGGATACTGGGGAAAAGAGTTTTTAGTGGACAAAAACACAGCTTTTAGCAGTATTTAATGACAGCACAGTGAAAGCCGCTTTATTTGTCGACTAATGAAGCTTAAAAGCTGAAACAAATTTCCGACATAGTAATTATAAAATAGTCATTACCAAAATCTGGTTTTTTTTTCAACAGATTCCTTCTGTTTTCCTGGAAAACTAACATTTAACATATTATGGATTATCGCGACAAGCATGCAGTTTACAAAACAGGAAATTTAAGACTTATCAGCAACACGAGTACTTCGGCTTTTTGCCCATGTCAGTGAACCAAAATCTGCCACGTTGCACTATTTCTACAAAATATTGGATAAATGATTTCGCAGGGGTCAAGTTATTAGAAAAATTCAAAACTGAGAAAAAATTTGGTATTTTATTTCGCTTCTTTGCTTCTTATGCTACTTCTCCTTACCCTATCTCTCTCACAACTCCGCTCCTCGTCACAGTTTTGAAATTCCTCGCTCCTACTGTCGAACAACGATGACTTTCGGAATTTGCAGCGAGTCTTTACCATAAATTTTATCTTTAACAACACCTTTAACAACATCCATTAAATCCATTCAGCACGTGCTGTGCGTTAAAATCAGCAAAGAAACGCGGACCCCAAATTCTACCATCAATTGCTTTTACCGGCCAATTGACGTATAACATTACATCGCACTAAAACAATGTAGAATACTAGGATTACCCAGACAATCAGTGTGAGGATCCCATATTAAAGAATTTACTGGGTTGCTTCCACATACGCCGCTATTTCAGCCCTTCAGAAGAGATGCAGCTATTTCAGCTATGTCGGGCCCTTCAGTTCTGCCTCTTTCAGTTATTATCGTCTCCGAGTTACAGTATGTCCACTACGATAATTTTGCGCTTCCAGAAACAACGAAACTGGGAAGTGGAATTTTAGGCAGGCTGATTTCTGATCCGATAATACTGTCACTGGAAGACCCGCGGGAAGAAAAGATGAATAAGAAAGACTGTGTGCTGAAAACAATTTTCCATGCTCCTGATTCACCAATTAGAATTTTATTTCGCCAATAAGCAAAAAATAAATCCAACACTCGACTCCATTCTGAACTAGCTGAAGTACTAGTGCCCTCAAGATCAATTACGAATTTAAGATCCAGGCTATCAGTCAACTAGTATCCTCATATCATTCTCCACGAGCTAAAAACTTCCACGATGCCACTACATCTTGCGTCCGTAAAGTCATTTGGGCCAGGATGTGACAACTAATTTTGAGAAAAGTATGCTTTTGAAGAAAGGAAACGCAGCTGCAAGTAGAAGCACACCCACCAAAGCTAAAGGAAATTGGAGGTTAATATTTGTTTCCTGTGACTGTTTATTCTCCTCGAACATCTTTAAAAATAAACAAATATCATGGAACATCGAACAATGGACATTGCGCCACCACTTGCAAAATCGAGATAACAACAGTACAGGAGAAGATTCACGAAAATGCAGCATCTGCATGTCAGCAAACACTGATTCACTAAAGCCCTGCATTTTGTTATTATTATGTATTTCCTCTCTTCCAAACACAGTCAAAGACTAGCAACATCCAGGAGCACCGGCATGCGGGTTTTTTAAAACTGTGTTCCGAAGTTAAAAGCCAAAAGAAAGAGGGTGTTTCCGAGACCAATTTTAGACTGTGAAATAGAGTGAGAAAGGGTTAAGCTTCTACGCCTCTTCTAGTAATTCCAAGCATTCTTTCGCCGGTTTCCAATCAAGCTACCAAAATCTACGACTAAGTTGCTGAAATTTCAGTTCCTGCTTGAGCGCGAAGCTGGATGACTGGGACGTATATGCATACATTGTGATAACAAAAACAAGCGCATAAAAATAGCAAAAAAAACTGGTACAAATAGAAAAGATTCAGAACACAGGCGAACTCAAAAGATTCAAGGCTAAAGTGCTCGGGTCGCATTGTCGACCTTCTTCCTTTTTTATAATTGTTACATTTTTGGATGCATATACATTGAACTCATCCGCCTAGAGAGGCGAATATCCGTTTCTGGTTCCAGTGATAGCGTCAACTCAATTCGGCTTTCAGCACCTCCGCCTGACTGCGACTTCGCTAGTTGCCTTCTCTATCTCCCTCCCCCGCCTCTGCTCTTCTCCAAGAATTATTTAAGAAATAAGTTGAGAGGCGCTTACCGGGCATCTCGGATCAATTTCAGATCAAGCACATCGATAGCAGCTTCAAAGTGAGGATCTGAGTCTATATATGACGCCACAAATTGCTGTACCCGAACTCAAAAGGATTCTAACCAACTGTTTTCATGACGAGTACGGCGAAACGTTGCTTAAATTCTGGCAGAAGTTTGATACAAGCGAAAACTATTAGCGAGAACTGTGTTCGATAGGGCTTACTAATATAAATAAAGAGGCGCAACAGCTATCATGGATGAAAAATTTATACCGCCATTAAGACGGTATAAATTTTTAATTAAAATGTAATTTCGATCCTTCTTAAGTTTCGGTAGCTTCGAAGATAATATCGAAATTAATTCATTGAACAAGATTGTTTCGACCCATAAAATTGCACACATTTCCATTTCCATGCTATTTCTGTTTGAAGCTATTGCAGAGGAATTCAAAAAACTTCACTTCCAACTTGCTTCTTCCAAAATCACAAAATTAATTTTAATTTGAAGCTAAAGCAGTAAGAATGCAGCAAGGATTGGAACAACTCAAAATACATATTTGATTCGTGTGATTTCAAAGCCTAAGTTTTAAAAATTCTAAGCACTTAATTTAGTTTTCGAATTGCGAAATAACGTAAAAATGGACCTGGCGTTGCAGACGAAGGCAGTTCAAGATTTCTAGCTTAACATTATTTTAGGTTAATTGATCTCCCAAGAAATTTTTTTGCTGCTCACTCCAAATTATTCCTTTATCTTGCCCTTCAGAAAAAACAGCTTCCTTAGACCTGAAGACATGAGATTAGACCAGTTTTGGACATGTAATTATAAGTCAGGACACAGAAGCCCTCAAAATTAATTTCGTGTTTATAATTCACAGGTGGGGGAATAATTTCAAAAACCATCCCTCCAATTTTTCACAGGCTTCAAACTACATTATCCGAACACGCACACATACGTACACATAAACACACACATACATTTACAAGCAGAATAAATTCCGAACTAAGTCCATAATACAGCAGAATATTTTTGCACGGATAACTCACTCATACAAGGCGCAGAAAAGAAGCAAAATATCACCCCATCTGATCACTAGATACGACAAACTGTTATCATTTAGGAAAACTTATTGAAATTCCAAATTGTTGAAATTTCCACATCTAATCAGTCGCAGCCTCCCCTTGCTGACAGACCTGTTGCATTCAGAAAAATGGCTTGTAAAGCAAAAAACAAAAAATTTATGAATTAAACAAATTGCGGACTGGAACAACTAAATGGCACAAAGCAATTTAGACTTTCGAAGAGAAGTTCGAAAGGAAAACACAGCTGACTGGGCTAGCTGTTTAGAACAAATCAAACAACACTGGTAGCATATTCAGATGAATCAATAGTGCGACTTGTTTGCCCAACGAGACGAGTATTCTCCGCAGATTCATTGCTAGATGTTAGACTGTAGTTCGCTGAGTCGTCCTGACGTGAGCCTCCTGTACTGACTTTAATTTGATGTCGCACTGAAGTACTTCCTGTTGCAGTTGCGGAACGCAGAGATTTCTGTTGTTGCTGCTGTTGCTGCTGAGATCTGAGGGTTCGATCTCGATCAGGAGTATCGAGCAGTGTTCTACAGTCATCGCCTAAATTACCATACAGGCTTGCAGCACCCGCACTACTGGCAAATCGTCCGCCACTATACATATGCTGCTGCGAATTCGGGGATCCTGGAGTCTGCACCTGTTGCGACGAATAGTTGCTTGTGCTACCCTGACTTGTTAATGTCGATGTAGGCGTAAAGCACTGCTCCTGTTGTATGGTACTCGCTGCCGAAGATGAAGCCTGCAATTGCTTAAAGCAATACATATACTGATGCGAAATCATCTGTTGAATTGTTGGAGGCTCCATAAAATCATATAGCAAAAATCTGATTATTTAACCGGATATGATAAGTAACAAGCTGATAACACCTGAAAGAACGTAAAGTGCCGGCAGCACTGGCTTTGTATAGTTAATAAAACTGATGAGTTAAGAGCAAGGCGATTAGAAAACGGGTTTTGGCGGTAAATTTTGATCCGGTGATGGTAACTGGCCAGATTCATTACACTCGAAACTTAATTTTTCAATGACTGGTAATCACGCGAAAGTAAACAAACACTTGAGCGACCTCCACAAAACGAACAGGCGGTGAGGACTAAATGGAAATATGTAGTCGAAGATTGAAGAGCCTGGCGTAACTGCGCTCGGCATGTAAAAGCATCCTTGTTAGCATTACTAACATAGGATTCTCACACCGAGTACAATCCTGCTCTGGGAAAAAAGGTTCACAGAAAAAAAAGCTCGCAGAATTCTTTGCGCCTTTTACCAACAAGGGTATCCGAGCAAGTGTTTTCCAGTATAAAACTCTTCAAATCACAAGCGCCGTTAAAACGACTTGAAAGAGATCAGAAACGTGAACTTATGCCAAATGATTTATGCTGCAGTTAATTTACGTTTACCACTTCCTCCAAATCTCAGACTAGATGCAGTGCCTTACAAAATCTAATCTTCCAGCGTATAGCGCAACCGGTCTCAAAAGACAGTGAAGCCAAAAGAGGCAAAGCACATGAAACATTCTACAATCGAAAAAATAAATAACCCGAAATTTCAGAACTGACTCATTTCTAAAAAAAATCTGTAACAGTTTGTACCTTGTCGAAGGATGCAGGATTTCCCCACGGTGACTCGGATGATTGCGAGATCTGTGATGCTGGTTGCTGCTGTGACCAGTTCCCGTAAATGGAACCAGCACCAGGGCCCTGCTGAGGAGCACTCAATTTGCGGGAATCGACGCTTGGCGCAGCGCTATTGAACGATGTGAGTTTTAAATTGGAACTCCTTTGGTACGGCGATTGCTCCCTGAAAACTAAGTTTTAAATTTAGGTTTGAACATGAATAAAACTGCAGCTGCAATGAAATGATAAAAATTCCAAGGTAAATGAACCTGCTGGAAACACTGGCCCGAACACCTAAACGATTTTCAGCAACCGGACTACTTCGTACGGCAAGCACTGAAGACGGTGCATCGCTCTCCGGTGCTGCGTGTTGCGATGCATTCGTCTGAAAAGTTGCGGGTAAAGGCTTTGGTAGGCTGAAATTAAACGGGATCAAAAGAATGAGATTTAGGAATCCAATGCTTTTTTTAGGCGGTCAAACGCACAAAAGCATTTCAACCCAGAAATGCATGCCATTTACTTCCACCGTTAACTGATAATTTCATATCGCTTGCTGTGATAAATACGATCGGAATTCTTGGGTAGTGGTGCACTTACACAGACTAAAAGTCACTGATTTGATCTGCTGGAGGAACACACAGCTTTTATATAACCAGTCGATTTGTTTCGAAGTTAAATTGATACCGACACTTTTTAGGGAGTCAAATCCGTCATCACTTTGTTTTTGGATAACTCACAGAAGGATAAGCCACCCAAATATCTGAAGGGTGGTTGCTCTTGACAATTTATTACCACTCTTACCAATTTCGAATGAAATACGAAAAAGTTTAGGTCTTTTTAACAACCACAGTTAATGTGCCATTTCAGAGAGAAATAAAAGGACCTGCGTTCTGCCGTAGGCATTTCCCATAGCTCGGCTTGCCTGAGCGGCCTGTGCTGCCTGAACAGCAGCTTGTTGCATCAGTTGCTGATTCTGAAGTGCACGGGTCTACAAAAACATACAACAATAATGCTGCAAGGGATCGTTATTGGAATTTGCCGCATCGTCTCATAACTTTTCGAATCTAAATGCTTTTACAAAACAGGAGGTTTCCCAAAAAGTAAATTTCTTCTTTACCAGCACTATTTTGCCTAGACGATCTCACGACTATAGGTTAAATACGACGATCCGACTGAAATTTTGCGTCACTCGAAACACCCAGGCTGGAACGCACCAGGCGGGCCGGTGCGATTATGCGTTTTTGCACTTTTCGTGCCG